TGGGAATGTAGCGACTTTTTTACATTAACTACATTTACTACGTAATAATTCTAAATGTAGCCAATTCAAGGTAGTTGGGGCCATATTCTCCGTAGTTCATAAAGCCTGGCTTAGTGGAAAAGCTCGGCTTTGTCACACAAAAATCCAAGCGTTTCCACTAAGCTAGGCTTTATGAACTACGGAGAATATGGCCCTTACTGTCGTTGATGTATCTAATGATCTAATAGGGCATGTCCATGTGACGTCACAAATGAGTTTGACAGTCGCCCTGAGGTAATAGTAGATTATACCACGAGTCAATAATGGTAGCTATTATTCCCGAGGATTATTACGAACTGAGCCGCGTTAGCGGCGAGGGAGTAACATTCCGAGGGAATAATAGCCATTATTGCGAGTAGTATACTCTACTTTATTTACGACAAATTAATTTATTTGAGATTTTCAATGAACAAATCTCATCCGTCTCATAATTTTCAATACAAATTCACAAGTACTACACGTTTGACACTGACACTTTTGTGGAATAATGACCATTAATCCCGCTACTCGTCATTAATCCCTGGAGGAATAACATATGTCTATTATACTGCCAAAATCACAAATATAATACGCACATTATACATTAGTCGTAAATAAAACAAATTATTTATTTACATTGGTGTAGATTAGGCCGGTAATGTTTCATGCGGTTTTCACAGCTTTTTTACAGGTTTTTGTGTTATTTTGTTTTAAAAAAGTTAAAGTAAAGTGTTTATGTTCCAGTCTATGTGGTCTTTTATCCAGAAGTTTGCTAGGTTTTTCTATAATGGATTAAATTCAGGTTTTTTCCAACAAATATCAAAACGAAGTGTCATAAGAACAAATATATAAGTATAGTTGCTCTATATTCAATCTATTTTTCTGTCAGATCTTCTCTTTTAACAACATTAATCAATTTTTCTCTTCTTTCTTGAGCTAACAAATCAAACTTCCCATTGTTATTTAAAATTGATGGAAACCTATGGAAGGATATTGTATCCCTTGCGCTATACTGCCTCAATTAACAACTAAACAAACTCTAGGCATGTCCAAGAAACTTCTGGATCACACAAAAGGCATTTATTTGAAAAAATCTAACTAAAAACTTAAAAAACACTGTAAATTATATCCAATTCTTACAAAAGTCACTGGACTGTTGGACTGTAACGGTACTTGTTCCTCTTAAATAATGAGGAGATAGTTAAAAAAAAGTTTGTAATAAGATTCTTCTTGTTTTATTTCCTTTGTCAATGAAGATATTATTTATAGCCCTGTCGCACGGACTCATGGCTCATCCCATAACTAAACTACCATCATACTCAAATTTTTCCAATAACAATAGTTTTATGAAAAATAGCTTTGGAAAATGTTTGAGAATATAAAAAAAATGTAGTTAAAGGTTATGTAGTTAATATAATTAACTTTGCTAAAAAACTGATGTAGTCATCCTCAATAACTATAAGGTAGTTAAAATCATGTAATTAATGTTACATTAACTACGTTCCCAACCGTGGTCATAACGGACAATTCGCTTCGACTCGTAAAATAGAATCCGACAGCTGCAATGGATAAAATATTGAACGTCAATTCGTCAAATTTAACTTGAAGTGAATATAAACAGTGTTGCCAGGTTGCTTTCATAAAGAGTAACAGGTCCGTCTTAAAAATGGTAATAGATTTTATTTGTCACTCATTTGTAAAACGTCACTTATCAAGTCAAAACATAACCAGCGAAAATTGATTTTTACAAGCTACTGGCTCTACTGACTTGTAAAATTGACAGCTAAACTGTAAAAACTTTTTACAAGTCAGTAGAATTATTTATTTTTGAAAAATCGGTTTTATCACAAGAATAATTGCTTGTAGGTACCTTCTGGGAGACTTTTCTGGTGATAAACTGTTGGCTACGACTGAGGCTTCATTAATAATATCTTGTAATAAATTCATTTCTGGAAAAAAATTGCAAAATGGAAATCTGTCAAAAAACCTATTTATAACTAGAAACAACGTATCATTCTCATAGTTATACCAACTACCAAAACTTCTGTGAGAAAAAATCAAGGAAAAACATATAAATTTCAAATTTTTGTTATGTATTGATTTTTTATTTGTCCCTATATCTTTTACAAATGAGTAACAAATAAATTATTGTACATTATACGCCAGGTAGCAGTTTTTACTGGCTCTTGAAGGTGAGTGAGCTCTTTTTGTAATAGAAGCTAGAATAATAAAAAATGAAAAATAAAAAGCTAATTCATTGGTTAAAAAATCTTTAAAGTTATATAAATTCCACTCCCCAAGTCTTATCATAATAGAAATACATATTAACAAAGCAGCATCTCCTACTCGATTTCTTAAAGCTGTTAATATTCGCCTGGCGGCTCGCTAGTCATTTCCTTCAATCGCCAATAAAAACTGTTTTACCTGGCTAATAATGTAAAATACTATTAAAAAATGGTAATAAATTTTTTACAGCTGGTGCCATACCTATAAGGGAGTTCACGTAACTTTTTTTTTTATCATGAATAATAGTAGATTATACCACGAGTCAATAATGATAGCTATTATTCCCGAGGATTATTACGAACTGAGCCGCGTTAGCGGCGAGGGAGTAACATTCCGAGGGAATAATAGCCATTATTGCGAGTAGTATACTCTACTTTATTTACGACAAATTAATTTATTTGAGATTTTCAATGAACAAATTTCACTCGTCTCATAATTTTCAATACAAATCCACAAGCACTACACGTTTGACACTGACACTTTTGTGGAATAATGACCATTAATCCCGCTACTCGTCATTAATCCCTGGAGGAATAACATATGTCATTATACTGCCAAAATCACAAATATAATACGCACATTATACATTAGTCGTAAATAAATATCTTATATTTGCTTTATTTGAGATTAACTTTTAATAGTGTTATTCTTCTATAAAAAATAAAACTCCTGATTCGTAAAAAAAAATTATTGAGCATAGCTTAAAATGACATTTTTGCATGTGAAAATGGCATTTTAAGCTATAGTTATTGTTAAACCTCCCTTAATATGGTCAGTGCAAACCTTTGAATATAAAACTACAGGAAGGAGCATAACTTCGAATCTGCGCGACCAAAATATGTGGAGGTTGCATATGGCCGACTAGTATTTCCGGTTTGGCAGTAGCGTATATTTATTTAAATATGATTGTCAATATTATGACTCACTCTTTTCTCACTAATTCCAGTACTTATCATCACTTAAAACCGCTAAAATCCATTAAACATCCACTTAAATGAGGACACAGGGAACCACCAAAACAAATGATGAGTCCAAACTTGGAGGCTCAAAATGGCGGCTTCCGTCGCTTTTTTGTTTGCAGTGACAGATAGACAACGCTCCTTCCTGTAGTTTTATATTCAAAGGTGCAAACCAAGGCTGATACACACTACTACCTACTACAGGATGGGCCTATCCTCATGAGGCTTTGTATGTAACAAATCCCCCCTTCTTCCCCCACGTTAAATAACCAGTTGTGACGTAGGCAGTTTAAGCAGCTGACGACTTAGTTATGACGTTGAAAATGGTAACACACCAATATGGCGGCAAAACTGAAAACGAGGCCGATAAGCAGTCCTTAGTGTGTATTCTCGTTGGATACGCACCACTACTACAGAGTAGCCTGCCTATCCTCATAAGACCTGTGTCCTGTGTGGAAAAACCTCATGTTTTCTCGAATGAAAGTAATGACGTCATTTTTAAAAAGGTTCAAAACAGGTTTCAAAAACATTTTGAACTGCTGGGGTCGAGAAAAAACACTTTTAGTTATGACGTCGGAAATGGCGACTCATCAATATGGCGGCAATTACCAAAAACGAGGCTGATAAGCAATCCTGTAGGTATATGTGTATCATCCTTGTGTGCGAACGGCCATAAACTAAAGATATGTTTGGATAATGATTTGGACAGGCCCTACGATTCTCACCTTAAAACTATAAAAATAAAACTTAGAACTTCTTTTAGGATATAAAAAATAAATATCTTTTATGATTCGAGCAAAAAATGCATAACAAAACATATAAAAAAAGGTAATAGAATTTTTAAAAAGGTAATAAACTCCTCTAAAAAGTAACAGATCTGTTACAATTGTAATAGACTGGCAACACTGAATATAAATGATCCTTAACTCTAGGGTAAAAGTTGATTCCTTTCACATCTAGGAGGAACAGCTCCGGGGCGTTACGCGCTTATTCCTTTCGAAAAGTGTTTGTTGCACCACGCATCTGTTCCATTCAAAATCGGGAGCGGGGGGCGACCGACACCGGAGCGAGTAGCTTGAGTGTTTTAAACCCTTGAAACGAATACAACTTAGCAACTGGACACGCTTACCTTGGAGTCAAAACCATCCTGGAGGTCACTCGCTATTCAGATTTCAGAAACCGGCCCTAAGGGCTTATCGATAAATATCAGTGACAAATTCGAGTCGATATGCACCTGGGACATTTCGATGTTCATATCGTATCGATGAGCCTTTCTTTACACCGCTCTACGAATGTACATCAATGACAATGTCAAAAAAAGAAGTGCCGTGCCACTTTTTTAATTTTCTATTTACATTTTAAGTGGATTGTTTTTTCCAGGAGGGATCTTTGTAATTATTTAAATTGGTAGATACAGGGTGTAATAAATTTAATTAAAACCCAAAAAACTCATTTATTACATTTTTCCTCAAGTTACTTATTATTCCAATGGCGTAAGTAAAAAAATTCCAAAATTTCATAAACATATGTGAGCACTAATTCCATTTTTAGGTCTAAGGTCACGTTCAAAATCACCCTTACCTCGGACCCTAAGCTCCCTTTCAAAGTGTAAGTAGTTGTAGCACCCTTTAAAGTTCTTGGGGCCTGTTAGTAGGTTTTCTCAGTCGACAAGTTTCTAGTGTAATTATTTTTCAGATAATCTATGAGAGAACCTACCAACATGGGCCTCAAAGCAAAATGAACAAGTCTTCTAACGTATCGCAAGTCCTAAAAGGATTTCAAAGGTTCTCGATGAATTATGAAAATTGTTTGTGGCCCCAAAACGCCACAGTCGAAGACATCAAGTCAATGTTCAAACTGGGGATGTTCATTGAGAAAAGTGTAGAGACTTTTAAATCTAGAGAGTTTTTTGGACAATTTTTATTGCTCTTAGATATTTGGGGCAGACAAAATAATATAAAAATTTACAGTGAAGAATTTTATGCAATTGCCAATGATTATTTATTACAAAAATTATTTAAATTTCCTAATATTAAAGAAACTACTTTGGATATAGGGGTTCGTGTGTATACTTCCTTATATCCAAAGCAACGATTTAAAGATTGTATTAAAATTCTCATTTTGAAATCCAGCTCTACATTAGCTATAGCTGATTTTGTAAATAGTTCAATCAAAGATAAAACTTGTTTGCAAAATAATATAATTTTAAATAAGTGGAGTGAATATCACAAATCAGGCCTGAAAGATGTTTTAAAATCAGAAATTGAAACCTATTTATCCTCATATCATATTGAAGACAAATTACCAAGGCTAATAAGTATATTAGCCAATAACAATAATTCAGAGAATGATAAAATTAAATTGATCATATTGGATTGCCTGGTAAATAAAATGGGCGACAGGAGTAGCTTATCAAAAACTTTTTGGCTTGCACTATTCAAGAAAGTCAATCTTCACCATCTAACAGAATCGTGCAAACATTTCCCAAGATTTCTAGAATCTTTATTAAATTTTATTGAATATATTGTCGCAATGATGAAAAGGGACGATACAAATGACTTTTGTGAATGGACTAGTGATTCAACAATATCATTTTGTCCAGAAATATCTTATTTTGAATTAGTAATATGTCTAAAAAGTTTATGTCATAGCGATAATGTAAAAAATTTGGTTCTTAAGAGGCTCGAACAAGCAAAAGAGTATTCCATTGTGCCAGAGTTGTGGTGTCAAATTGAAAACGAGATTACTTTATAATATATTTTTGTATGCTTTTTCATTGGGTGTTTTTTTCTTGTTCCTTCAATATAATTTTTTTTAAGATTGAGTGTTCCTGAAGCAACACCGTTTACAGCAGTACTGAAATTTGCCGCTGAAGAATTTAAAGTACCACCAGCGACTTCTGCTATTATCACTGATGATGGTGTAGGAATAAATCCGCAACAAACTGCAGGTAAGAGATAATAATTATTGATGGCATACTTTTTAAATTCCAAACTTTTATTTTTTCAGGCAATGTTTTTTTAAAGCACGGCTCAGAACTTAGGCTCATTCCCAGAGATAGAGTTGGTACTAATTACTAGGATCAAGTTTTGGTTTTTGTATTTTATCAATTCCAATGTTTGTTTTTGTATATAAAAAGTAAAACACCGTTTTTCATACATAGAGCGTTTTATTTATAGTTTGTATGAAACTACACTAAGTCCGAACACTAATAATATATCAATAAATACAAAAAATTAATACACAGATAATATAAATAAATTACAAAATCAAATAAAACGTATTGTATACATTATTAATATAGCACTTACATGACTATATTTTTATGGCGTTATCAAAATACAGTTTGGAAATATGTTTTGAGTATTTTTTGAGCTTAAGAGTAGAGCAAAAAAGTTTCTTTCTTTTTGGCACACCTACCATGGAATGTCTTTTGACAGACTTTTGTTAAACATTGGAAAATATGGCAGTGACCATGACCACACATTTCTAGCAAAATTCTATAAAGAATTTTCAATACTCAACGGAAATTATTACAAATAGTATAAAGCAGAATCCCTAATGACTAGACAAACAAAGATATGAACAATTATTATTATTATTATGTCATGATAATATAAAATCTCAATATTAAATCAAAATTAATGGCACAAAAAAGCATGCGTTTGAAAATACTTGGATTGTGCTAAAAATTGAGAGGACTATTTTTAATATTTTATTGCCATATTAATCTAGAATACACTGTAGTTTATATAACTGAATAATTATTGTATAAAAATGGGCGAATTGCACTTAAAAATTAATTAAAACCGCATACCTATATAAAAAATAAAGCAATATAGCGTATACATATATGTATTATAATACATATACGCTTAAAATGCTAAACTTTGGACATCTGTTCCTAATATTAAAAATATTTATTTTTTTTTTGGTTAAATTTCACTATAATGAAATATTCCCGAATATTAGGAAGAGTTTTAAATCTTAAGTTCTAAATAAAAAAAATCAAGCCCAAAGGGCTTCAGAAACAAAATCACAAACGAAAAAATTATGAAGCTACAAAAGTGAAAACTTCAATCTGTCCACTCCTTTTCATCGACACCCTCCATTTCGTCTTGTTCCAATTTTAAGTTCACTTCTAATCTGCTACTTACCGATTTTTGGATCTAAATTAATTGATAATAATAGAATTAATTTTCGCTGAAAGTACAATATTGCTTACCTCCTCCTGCTTATTTTTTGTTTGCTCTGTCAACTCCGGGTTCCAAGCCAATTTATTGTAAGGCTTTGAAGTGCCAATAAACGGACTGGAAGCTGACTTATTGATGGTCCTATTTTCTTGACCTTGAGGCTGAGATTCTGACACTGGAAGAAATATTTTTACATTGAGAGTTTGGAACTTCTGCTTCTCATATGCTCTAGTCAGGGGGGCCAATATGTAATCCGCTTGCAAAAAAGTGAGGCAAGTATGAGTCATATACCATTTTTTTTAGAAAAATTAGCAGATTTTTTTTTTGGTACCAAGTCTTTATGTATGTCAGAAGGGAGAAACAACCCCTATTAGAGATTAAGGGGTAGTGAATAAGTAATACCCTTATATATTAATGTAATGACCCTTTTTTGCATACGAGAAGTGTCATGTTTACAAAATAGTTTCCAAGGATGTTGGATTTTTGGAGTTGTTCGACGCCATATTTATTTTCGAGAAATGATCTTTAACTTTTTTATTTCAAATTCTTTGTATACAATATGGGTATCGATTTCACATAACTTTGGGATGACTAACCTAATGGTATAGATTATATCGTTGTAGGGTTATTTGCAAAGCCCTGCAACCCTTTTGTTTATATTTATACATATACCCTATCAGACGTTTCGACGAAAAACAAGTTTTTATATTGTCAAATTTATATTTATAATATAAGACTTATTTAATTTAGCGAGGAGGGTCAAATCAGCTTTTCGACGTAATTTTTGCTCCTCTATTCGATAGAATACATTTTTTTGAAATTCAAAATTTCAATTTTTTCAACAAAAAAAATTCAAAGGGGGTAAACTTCAAGTACAAAACTCATAAATCTCGTCAAGTACTACAAAAAAGCCTATAAGAAGTTTTCACCATATTCATATTGGTAGATGAAGGCCGTTTCACACTATTTAACCTTCTGACATGGAGGGAATGAAGGCCGGTTCCACACTGTGGGTGAAATGAAGGCCGGTTCGAGGAAAAAATGATTCCCGAATCTCTTCGGTTGCACCCAAGGATGCCAGAGTTTCGAGAGTATTTGTCGAAGATACTAAATTTTTTTTCCCAAAATGAAGTTTTTCATTTTCCTCTAAAAGAACCCGTTATATCTGCGCCAGACAATGCATGCAAACCGGGAAGCGATGCAGCTTTTAGGAAAGCTAATTTATTGTAGATGGTCTGCAATGGAAACTTGTGGCTGTTAGAACCTATTTTTACAAAAGCTGAATTACTTGCCAAGAGAGGAAATCGCCTTATAGCTAATACTGAAACATCCATATCAGGAGAAAAAAATTTAATTTTACTTGCCTCCTTACTAGATGCTTGTACTGCATGAAATAACATTTTTGTATCTGCCTCTTCGTGACTGCTTTCTAAAAATGACATACATATATTCTGATTTTTGCTGTTACTAACAATATTTGATCTATATGAACAAATTACTGTGACTGCTGGAATGGAAGTACATATTTTCCAATAGTTTTTTGGAGAGATATTCAGTTAGTTTATCTTTTGTAGTTGTATTCGATAACAATTTTTTTATATTAAGGTTTTTAATATTAGTTTTGTCATGGACATTATATTTTATTGGATCTATCCCCTTTTGTCTTCTGGTTCGTTTAATAAATATGACCTCATCCAGGGGTTATTTTTTAAAATTGACCTCATATTCAAATTTGCCGGCCTAAAGTTATACGAAAACGACACCATTATAAATATTTCACGTCAAGAAAAACTTTTCAAAAATTAGACTCTGCCCAAATAAAGAAGGGGGTATTTCTCACCTCTGATATGGATACGGAGCTGGTACCAAAAAAAATCTTATTCTGCATGATGTTCTAAAAATTTCAAGGTTTCACAATTTTGCCTAACAAAATTACAAGCGAACTATGTTTTTCTACAAATTGGCCCTTGACTACTGTCTAAATTCAAAATTTAGTCATGAAAAAGCCCTACATTATATCTATCAAAATCATTACAAAAATTAATTGATTATTGCGCCAGTGGGTCACCAGGAAACATAGGCATTACTACGATCTATACCAGACGCGGCGTCATTGAAAGTTTAATTAGCAAATCTTTCCATGTGGAGCACACATTAGATTTTTGTCAGCGATTTATTCTTTTTAATTAATTACCATTTTTCATGACGTTTGTCAAAGTTGCATTTTTTTGTATATAAATATTTGTTAATTGTTTAATAAAAATCAATATTAATCATTAATGGTTCGTACTCCTCAGTTACCAAACTTCCTAGGTGTACTGAACAAACCTACAAACCACAAACAACAAACTACCAAGTGTTCTGAGCATCCTCCTAAATTCCAATACAGGAATTTACATATTATGCTCTACACCATTTCAACCTCAATTTCGGAAAAAGTAACTTTTATTTAGGAAAATGTAAAGTCATTTTCGGAAAAAGTCAAATCAATTTCAGAATAAGTAAAGTTAATTTCGGAAAAAGTAAATTCAAATTCGGAAAAAGTAAATTCAAATTCGGAAAAAGTGAATTCAAATTCGGAAAAGGTACATTCACTCACGGAGAAAGTAATTTTATTTTTTATAGGATAATTTGAATCGATTGAGTCATTTATCTATTTAGAAAATCAGAAAATTTGTCCATATTATATTATAAGTCTACGAATTGTTCATTATTTTATTCACTCACTAGTGACATGTGTTTCGTTCATACGAGCATCATCAGACCTAAAAAATAATATAGAGAACCTAATTAAAGTACAAAGTACACAGGTCTAGGTTGGAATCGAACCTATCAGGGAACCGGTTCGACTCGAGGTTTACAGGGTGTGAAAAAAATAGTGTATCGGACTTCGAGGGGTGATTATGGAAACTATATACTCTTTCAGAACTGTTGCGACTTTTTTTACTATCACCATTCGCCATTCGCTGTGGCATCGAAATGTATGCAAGAATACCAAATTTCAAGGAAAATAGTTTGCCTTTGTTCTTGAAAATAAATAAAATCCATTATTTTCATCTACCGTTTGAAGCGCTGTAACTTCTGCAGGGAGCATCTCTTAGGGCATATGTTCATAGAACCTAATTAAAGTTAAGTACACAGATTGGAGGTTTATAGTCACTGCTAAATTTACTTTTCATCAATTCAAATTATTCTAAAAAATAACATCACTTTCTCCTTAATTGAATGTATTTTTCCTAATTTGAATTTACTTTTTCCGAATTTGAATTTACTTTTTCCAAATTTGAATTTACTTTTTCCGAAATTAACTTTACCTTTTCTGAAATTGATTTTACTTTTTCCGAAAATGACTTTACATTTTCCTAAATAGAAGTTACTTTTTCCGAAATTGAGGTTGAAATGGTGTAGTAGCTTTGCAGGTATTTTGCACAAAATCAAAGAAAATTAAATTAGCCATGAAATGGCATAACATTTAGCTAATTTTTGGGTGAATGAAATTAAAACCAAAAAATTCCTTACAAGATTCCATTCCGTCTGGTTTCAAGCTGACCCTGTGGACAGGTTTATCTTTTCCAGTAAACCACTCATTACTCGAAGCACTTGGTACCCAAGTCACTCTTGTAGCAGGAAACAGATCATCCTGGAACAACTCTGTTTTGATTCGAGGCACGGTAAAACTCAGCGGTTCGATGGAATTGTTGGTTAACCTGTAGGCTTTGGCAAATTCCACATTCTGGACGTCGCATACGTTTTTGGGCAGAAACGACAAGCCTTGATGCAGAGAGTTGCACCTGTGATGGCTCAAAGGGCAAATAAAAGGATGTTCTTCTGTGATTTCAAAGGCGTAAATTGTTAAGTCACCTTTTCCCGTGCAAAATAATGTGGAGCTGTCCTCGTCATAAAAAGGTATTAAAATTGCAGGAGAAACGTCCAAGCCTACAGTGTTGAGAGGAGTATTCAAATCAGTAGCTTTATAAATAGTGATTTGTCTTTCGGACACTTTATCAAAGCCCAGGGTAACAATATAGCGTCCATCTAATGCCCATACGATACGCGCTCCACGATTACCTTCAGGCCCTTTACCTTCTTTAATGGGCAAATCACTTTTTCTTGGAGCAAAAATCCTAATTTTGCCATCTTTGCAAACAGTGGCACACTGAGCGCCACAAGGCGACCAAGAAAAACTAAAAATCTGATCACTGTGGCCTTTCAAAGACAATTTCTCTGTCAAACTTGTCAAATCCCATAATTTTATCGTCATATCATAGGAGCCTGTGGCCAAAACATCTTTAGCAGTTGGATGGTGTTTTAGAAAATATATTTTGTCACTGTGAGCGTTAAATTCACGATCAGGCTCATTTGTCGGTTCAGTGAGGCCACTTTCTGGAATTTTCCATATTTTTATTACACCATCGTCGCAAGCTACTGCCAATTGTTGATTATCGAACGGGTCCCATTGGAAATCCATTATGTTGTTACCCTGGACTAGGGTTGGAATAACGCCATCTGGAAGTTTACCTGGAAAGAGAAAAATTTATTATATTAGAAGAACAAATTCACCATGCCTTACCAGTTTTGCTAAGTTCAAATATAGCAATTTTGCCTCCTGGTCCGCTCAAAGGTACAGCAACTCTTTGAGGATTAGCTAAAACAAAAATAATGAAAACTCTTGGGATAAAAACAATAAATTCTCACCATGGAATCCGTCACATTCTCCTGGTATTTGCCTACTTAAATTCCTAATATTTTCTATATGGAAACTTTTGTGAGCTGTGGTGCCTTTCAAGTGTCTGAACTTTGATACTTTTCCTGGAATAATAAAATTGTTAAATTAAATTAATTGGTACAAATAAATTGTTTACCAAATACTGTAGAAGTTCTTTTTGGTGTTGGAGCTGTATCGTTTTTCTTTAAAGCTTGCACATCCAAAGATTGTTGTTTTGATACTGGCACACTCCTTCTATTGCTGTCTTCATCCGAGTTTTTTTTAAACGAATCCTTTCTTCGTAGCATAACAGGAGAAGAAATGCTCTTTTCAATTATCGTAGGTTGGTCTTGTTGAGACTGAGATCGCTCATACATCTTTCTTCTTTCTGCAATGCTGTTTCTTTGCAATGTATTTCGCTCAAACATACCAGACTGATCAACTGCATCAAAATTGTCTTCTGGTTCGTTTTCTTTGGAACTAGTGCGCGTTTCGAATAGTTTCCTTCTTTCAGCAGTTGTTGGGGTTTTTGGGATATAGCCTGAATCACAAGAAGTTTCTTCTTCGCCGCTTGAGCCTGACTTACCATTTTCATTGTCCTGTTTCAGTGGAGTGGCTTCAATATCGCTTGTTGGAGACTTTTCTTTTTCTTGTTCAGTTTGATTACTTTCACTAAAAACGATTATTATTATGAAACTGTGCTAAAACAATAAGAATTCTTACCTTGAAGCCACATGTCCATTTGAATTAGATGAAGTAATGCCAGGAACTTGTGGAACAGAAAACACTTTACTAAAAGTGTTTTCAGTGTCGTTTAGTTTTGGAGGAGTAAAGGGTTTGGGCCCAAGCCTTGGCTACAAATTAAAGTAAAAATTTAGCATGTGGCCCAATAAAAAAAAAACTACGAAAAAAAATAGGCCATAAATAAATCCAAAGTCTACAATAATAGCAGTGCAAAAAAATAAAAATAAAAACTCTTGCTGCACAACACCAAAAAACCTATAACCTTGTATCCACCCAAGGGACCATTGGGGTTCACTGAAGTGACCACAGGAACACAGCTGTTAGTTCTCGGTCTGGCCACTGGTTTGGGGGCGTTGTCTTCCATAGGTTCGCATACAGACCCGGTTCTGGAGCTTCTTGGTAATGGTTTTGGAGGAATTATGCTTACCTTCGAATATTTATATATTTTTCAAATTATTGTTTTCAGAAACTTTAAAAATATTATTTAATAGTTAGTAAATAAGTTGTGTGTTGTGTGTATTATTTTGACCTAGAATGACCTCATGGAGACACTAAAGTGTTGTGAAAAATTCCAACCATTCTCACCTTCTCTTCTTCATATTCAATTTTCTTAATTTCCTCAAAACTTTTCCGTGGATTTTCATCTTCGATGATTTCTTGCTGGTCCTTTTCAATCTCCTGAACAATATTTTTCACTGGATGCAGCTTGGGTTTAGGGGCTGTTTGAATTATTTTCGGTTTTGCTTGTGCGGATTTGCGATTAGCTTTGGCTTCTTCAAATTCTTTGCGCAAATCAACCAGAGAACCTCTGTGAACCTAGAAAAATGGAATTGACATTTTGAAAAGACTAATTAAGTCAACTTACAGTTATTGCCTCTTCTCCTTTTTCTCTTTTGCTTGGATCCAAGCTAATTTTACCTAAAGAAATATCAATTCCTTCAATCCATTGTTCAGCACTTAATTCTGTCTTACATCCAGGAGTATCAGGGAATAAATCAGCATGAAAATCTCTACAAATCATAAACAAAAAAATATTATTGTTAGTTAATTCATCTCGATATTTTTGTACCTGTAAGTTTTTCTGGGCACCTGATAAGTGATTGGCACAACAGAACTACTAGTGAGTTGCAGAATTCTATTAACTTCACCTTGCATCACATTTAGAGCTCTTTTTGGAACAAGACATGCTCCTTTAGTTTGCTCTCCAGAGTGTCTTATGCCTTCAATTAAGTAAGGTTCTTTGTCTGTTACTTCCATGTAACCAATAGTTGTATCTCCTGAGATGAAAAATAGAAATTGAAATTCACATAAATAGATCTATGGCTTGTAGAGTGGAAAAATGGAATGAATGAATATGTACGGTACTTACCTTTTCCAGCCAAAAACAACATGCCAGTGTCAGCATCGTAAAGCGGCATCAAAATACCAGTAGAACAATCTAATTCTAGAGTTTTCTCAGTCTCTTTGAAATTCCTTAAGTCCCTAACAATGATTTGTCTTAATCTTTGTGCGTCAAAACCTGTCGTTAGAATTTTGTCTTGGTCCCCAAGCCAAACCACTCTGGAGTCTTTGATGCTCTGATGACTGTTGGCTTGTTTTACGCAAGCGGCTTCAGCTCTGGGATCAATTATTCTGACTTGTTTGTCCTTGCAAGAGGTGGCCAAAAGGGTACCGTCTCTTTTCCAACTCACAGATTGTATCACTTCCTCATGATCGTGATTCGAAAACAGTTCTTTTTCCGTAATGAGATCCCACAAAGTCAGAGTGGTGTATGAGGTAGAATGTAGAAGATAATCGGCTGTCGGATGAAATCCAACTGTTTCTACTCTACGTTGCTTATGAGAAAATGTACATTCGGGATTACTAAGCGACTCTACCAATCCTTCAGGAGGTATATGCCATATTTTAAGCAAACAGTCTTGAGATCCAGTGGCCAGAAGTCCATCATGGAACGGAGAAAACTCCATATCGGTAACGGTATCCGTGTGGCCATGTAACAGCGGCATAAGTTTACCTTTTCTACCACAATCATCTGAAACTCTCAATTTATTAGGCTGCACAACACAGTAAGGGAAAACGTACCAATGGGTAAAACAGCTAAGCTTGAACCAGCATGGTCCCAATTAAAAGCCATAAACTTGGCAGAAGCAGCGATATTATTGCCGTAGGTCTGATAAGAACCCACAGTGATGTCACGTACATAAGTTTCCGGTTTTGGTACGATTGGTGCTGCATTTTTGTATTTCGAAGCTTTGAAACGCCAAGCCATGGTTAATTTATTGTTAGGCTAAAAATATCAGCAATTAGTTGCAGTTGTCTAAGGTATGGCTTTTGAGGTTTATATTCAATTCTTGTAGAATTGTACTGCCTCTCTTGTATATCTTGAAGGGTATAAGAATATTTATATTATCTAACAAATATATTATGTAAAATTTTATATAAAAAGCATACTTATGCCAAGATTTCTCATGCGGATGTCTAATGTAGGAAGGTATAATGTGTAAGAATACAAATAATTCATCAAAATTATTATTTTCAACAGAAATTCTAAACCTATAGCCTATACGTCTGGTAAACCGTTTTTGAACCGTTTGCAGCATATTTATATAAAGCCAAGGTGTTTTGAGGCTCTATCGCAAATATTTTCAATACAGAAATTGAAAATAAGATCCTGATTCTAGAGTCCTCCAGACCTCCAAGGTTGAAGTTGAAATTAGTTTATACAATTTTCAGTCATCTTTGATCTTAAAATGTCATTCGGGAATACTTAAAAACTTGGACTATGTATTTTCCAAAAATACCACTAATATTCCAAAATATGTATGCACATCCAAGCTCTAAGAAATTATTCTATAATATCCTGAACTTCTTCAAAAGCTCCAAATTTTTCAAAAAATGCCTGAAAATAACACTGATTATTCCACTCATGTGTTAGAAATCCCATAAGACAAGTCACGATTTTCAGAATTACAGCGAAAATTCTCTTTTCCATTTGTTTAACTAGAGAGAATTACAGCGATAATTCTCCCATGTTATTGTATACATGGTTGTCATGCTAATTTTTGATACAAACGGTTCCTGATAGCAACCATTTATTTGTATTGATTGTTAAGATGTTCAAATCGTTTAATACATATTTATTTCCATATTTTTTGCATTCTCATACGTGAAATAATCCTCTAAATACCACTCGAGCTTTAAAATAAACCAGATAATTTTTCACTCATGCGTGTTTTCTCTGCAAATTTCACTCGTCCTACGGACTCGTGAAATTAAAGAAAACACGCAATCGTGAAAAATTATCGGTAATTTTGAAGCTCTCGTGGTATTATCCCCGAAAATTCTAGGTAATAATTCCACTCAATTTGGTTTTTGAAATTGATGGTGACAATGACAATTGTCAAAATAATTTAATTATTTGGATAATAATAATAAATGAAATGAAAATAAAAAAGATGTCCATGTGTGAATTTGAACATTCGGAGAAAAAATTATATGTTTTACATGGCAGAAAAGCAGATTTAATGCTATGAAACACCAGCCACGACATTAAATCTTGTACTTTTCTGCCTAGTAGAACAAATAACTATTTTTAATTCGCCATCGTCTTCCTGTATCATTAATTATTATTTGTCACTACATAAGATGATTTTTTCAAATTCAAACACCCAGTATATATTTGAAAAATTTCGATTCCATAGGTGGCGCAGAGAAAATGCATGTTTCAAGTGTGATGCACAACTTTCAAGAGCGGTTAGAAATGTGCGCCCACAAAGCAGGGTGACACTTGACTGACATTATTTTCCATCATTAATTTAAAAGTGCACTATTATTATTTCATTTAGCTGTAATGGAAACAATTGAAAATTAAAAATGTTATGCTTTTAAGTAGGTACCTACGAGAAAAACATACCTACGTTTCCTCTACGCCACCCTGTATAGGGTGTCCCATTTTGGTTGTACACAAGGAATAACTCGGTTGTCAATAAAGTTAGGAGGATGCGGTTTTTGTGAACGGTGGTTACCTTTCTACCAAACGAAAGATGCCGTCGACAGAATTGTCATTTTTGTTTTTCAGATACAAGGTGTTCTTGAAAATGTTGCGTTTTGGGACAGCCCTTGGTATCTCAGTTCTAAGTGATCAGATGACAACTCCGGTGACAATAGATTCTTATAGATCTTTTTATGTAGATTCCAGTGGCGTAGTCAGTTTTTCTCTAGAAGTGATAGTTTATGAGACCTTCATCATTTTCCTTACAGATTTAAAGTTCTTTTCAAACACATTGTTGTTCATAACAAAAACAGAAATAAGAGAGATAGAACTATCGAACTTTATATTATTGAAATCAGCAAATGCAGAACTATCCAATAAGTTTTTAACATACAGTGCATCTCATTTGAAAAAACGTACCGATGTTTGGTACATAACTGAAAAACTCTTACTTCTAGAGAAAAACTGACTTCGCCATTGGAATGTCCATAGAAAGATCTATAAGAACTCGTTGTCATCTTGGAACACTTATGAGAGGACCGAGATGAAAGAGGTGTCTCAAAATGCAACATTTTCAAAAACACCTTGTAATTGAAGAACAAAAAGGGCGATGACAATTTTGTTGACTGCATCTTTCGTTTGACAAAAAAGTAGCCATCGTTCAAGAAAGCCGCCTCCTAATTTTAATAATAGCAACAGAGATATCCCTTATGTACCTACAACTAGGAATGGCATCTCGGTCAATTGACCATTCAAAAGTTGTCAATTGACACTCAATTTCACCGAAGTTAGAATATTTGACCAAATCAATTTGACCAATGTAAACAAAAATTACCTGCAGAAGCAATAGTTTATCGCATAGAAAATAAAATAAAATTCTACTATCGAAAATGAAACAAACAAATAGTTATTTATGCAACAAGTGTGTAAAGTGAACCTTTTTTCACGAATGTGAATGCACTAGCGCGTGAAGAATTTTCACTTTACGCACTAGTGCGTGAAGTAATTTACCAGAAAAATGCCAAATTGACAGTGTTGACATCTGTCATTGACATTACTTTACGCACTAGTGTGTGAGGTGAATTACTTTACGCACTAGTGCGTGAAGTGAAATTTTACATCTTCTGAATAGTGCGTAAAGTGAGTACTTTACGCACGATAGTAGAAAAACTTATTTCTTTGATAAAAGACAAAATCAAAACTTATTTTTCCTACTAGCAATGAAATATGTGTAAAAAAAAAATTACGACAAATACTTTACGCACTAGGGCGTGAAGTATTTTCATCTCGATTTTCACTATATGCACTAGTGCGTGAAGTAATCTACCAGAAAAAAACTAAATTGACAGTGACAACATCTGTCATTGACATTAGGTACTTTAGGCACTAGTGTGTTAAGTGAATTGCTTTACGCAATAGTGCGTAGAGTGACTACTTTACGCAGGGTAGTAGAGAAAAATGTATTTGCAATATGTGTGTAAAGCACCTTTTTTCACTCATGTGATTCTCGCACTCGTCTCCGGCTCGTGCGTCAAAATTCACATTCGTGAAAAAAGGTTGTTGCATAAATAGTGACTTTTTGATAAAAAGAAAAACAGAACCACTAATCAAGTAAAAATGTAACTTTCAGGTAAGTACCATCGTCACCAAAAGTAACTGGGACAGCATCACATTAGCTCTTGTCCTATTATATGAATTTTATTGTCAAATACTTGTCAAACTATGAATTAAATGCATTGAAATGAATGACAGTAGAATTAGTCCAGGAGATTATTATGCATTAAGTGTGTCCCAGATACTTTTGGTGACGATGGTACATATTTTGAAAGAAACATTCAAGTATCTTTTCTAGTGTCTCTCTGTCCTTGTTATATGTCATACCTGGCGGAAAAAATGATGGCAATAAAGCTACCGTCATGATCCTCATTGCGAGCAATTTGACAAATGACGGGTCAAATACTAGGTCAATTGAACGAAAAATATTTGACCAGTCATTTGCCAACCCTACCTACAACCAAAATAGGACACCCTGTACAATTGCTCAATCCAAGTAATGGGTAAAAGAAAGATAAAAATCTCGATAAAAATACTGAATATTCTTAACACATTAGGACTGTTTCCACAGAAATCACAAACCTGTCAGAGCATTTTTGATTGGTCCAAGTCGCCAACAACCAGCTGTCTGACTATTTTCAACCAATGAAATTCGCTCTGACTGGTTTCTGATTTCTATGGAAACAGACTTATTGATCATGGTGATATTTTTTAATTTGTTAAAATTTGAGAGAAAATGCAGTTTTGATATTTTGTTGTTTTATTCTAACCCAATTATTATACATAGTCTTTACACAATCATTCACAATCCTTACACAATCAGTCACAATCACTCACAATTGTGACACAAACAATCACAATCGCTCACAATCACTCACAATCTTAGCAAATTTCCTTAAAAAGGGGGTGTGCGCTAAAAAAACAACTTTATCTAAAAAAAAAAGAGAAAAAAAATCTAAGAATAACAGTGAAATTCGCATCCCTCTATGACAAATAATACCGCAGATACGGCTCTATGAAGGTACCGCATCTCACCCTATGACGTCACGAAAGCTCAAGCGACGCACAAGAAAGTGGAGTTAATTAAATTTACATATGTTTTTCCTGTTTTACCTGCAATAATCTAAACAAAAACCACTCACACGTGCCGGAAACAATCAAATTAACAATGCAGAGCGCGGCTGGACGAAGTTTTCGTGACGTCACGAGAGCCTCGTCCACACTTTAAAGCGGTATATCTCAGCGATGGTTTATCCTAGAATAACGAGGTTTGATCAGTTATTCTTAGATTTTTTTACACTTAAACTTTAATTTTTGGCGCACACCCCCTTTAAAGATTGTGGAATTTGGCAGTGTGTACATATTTTGGGCCAGCTATTCACCCCTCGCCAAATTCTGTTCTGTGGAAGTCTACATAAAACAGATATTTGTGTCTTACTTGTCTTACAGGAACATGAAGCTTGATTTGCTCTAGTAATTGATGGCAATAAGCAATGGCGGCCAGTGGCAACCTAGTGTGGTTGTGCGCTCTTGGAAAATTTTTTGGAGGTGCCACGTCCTGTTTTACATTTATTTTGTATGTTGATTTTTTTTCTTTTTACTTTAGGAAAAATTATCGAAAACAAAAATATATGTATTTAAATGAGGCTTGAATGTTTGTATTCTAGCCATAATACATAATTGATATTGAAATTTATAATTAAAAAAAAAACCGCGAACAACAG